AAAAAAAAAAAAAAAAAAGCACAATCAAAAAAAAGGCCAGGTGTGGTGGCTCACACTTGTAATCCCAGCACTTTGGGAGGCTGAGGCAGGGGGATCACCTGAAGTCAGGAGTTCAAGACCAGCCTGGCCAATACGGTGAAACCCTGTCTCTACTAAAAATACAAAATTAGCCAGGCGTGGTGGCGCACCCCTGTAATCCCAGCTACTCGAGAGGCTGAGGCAGGGAGAACTGCTTGAACCCAGGAGGCAGAGGGTGCAGGGAGCCTTGATCACACCACTGCACTATAGTCTGGGTGTCAGAGTGAGACTACATCTCAAGGAAAGAGAGAGAGAGAGAGAGAGAGAGAGAGAGAGAGAGAGAAAGAAAAAGAGAAAGAAAAAAGAACGAGAAAGAAACAAACTTATGAGGGAGAGTTTGAAGGACCTAGTTTGTTTAGGATGAAAGCAGTTGCCTAATTATGGTGAGCTGAAGAATGTTCCAGGCAGAGGAAACCTGGTATTGGAAGGTTCTAAGTTTTTATAAAAATTAGCTGGGCATGGTGCAGCACACCTGTAATCCTAGCTACTAGGGAAGCTGAGACGAAGAATTACTTGAATCCTGAAGGTGGAGGTTGCAGTGAGCCGAGATGGTGCCACTGCACTCCAGCCTGGGCAACAGAGCAAGACTCCACCTCAAATAAATAAATACAAAAAAAAAAAAAACTATTAGCAAATATGTACAGAACAAAGCAATAAATCAGAGGGCCAGTTTTTAAACATGTGAGGGGTTGGCAGACAGCAGGGCCACTAGATTTGCTTTGTACATGCAAGAAGACAAGATTGATGCCCTAGCAGGAAGTGACAGGGCAGGAAGGCCCCCGGCTGTCAGGACAATGCCACCACCACCATTGTGCTGGGAAGCAGGGAGCTAGCCATCCCTGGAGGACTCAGGCACATGCTCCTCTCCAGGCCCTGCAGGAGCCCCAGCACTGCTTCCGAGAGCACTCAGCTCCTCGCCAGCCCTGACTCTTTCACCTAACACTCCCCAAACCGGTATCAACAGAATCCCCAGTGGACTGGATGTGAACAGGGCATTCCATTGCCAAACATTTTGGGAAATGTGTATTTTTTTTTTTTTTTTTTTTGACAGAGTCTCACTCTGTCACCCAGGATGGAGTGCAGTGGCACAATCTCGGCTCACTGCAACCTCCCCCTCCTGGGTTCATGCGATTCTCATGCCTCAACCCCCCAAGTAGATGGGATTACAAGCATGTGCCACCACACATAGCTAATTTTTGTATTTTTAGGAGAGTTGAGGTTTCACCATGTTGGCCAGGTGAAATTCCTGACCTCAAGTGATCTGCCCACCCTGGCCTCCCAAAGTGCTGGGATTACAGGTGTGAGCCACCGTACCCAGCCAAAAATGCATATTCTCTACCTGGGTTCTGGTAGTTATGAAAAGATACCACCACATTACAGACTGAGAGGTACTGAGTGCAGAGGCCTCTGGACCCAGACGAGCCAGAGAGTGACTGGCTACTGCATCCGGAGAACAAGCTGCTGCAGCTGCAGCTTCTCATCACCCAGAGTGCCACTTCCACCTCCTCCAGACACAGCTGGAAAAGGCTCCTTCATCAGCACCCCACCTCCTCCAG